AGGGAGGCTGTGGCTTTACCTCTTCCTAAGGGTGTTCCTGAGGCATCCTGCGTGGTGAGCAGCCTGGATCCAGCCTGGATCGTGGCCTTGCCCAAGGAGATCCCCGGGTGGGGGGTGGGGATGGGTGGGTGAGGGGTCCACCTGAGCTGGGGGTCCGCGGGGTCAGGACGGCAGAGTCAGCAGCGCCGGCCCTCCTACCGCTCAGGGCCAGGATGGGGACACCTCACGCCGGCTCACTCTGCACCAGGCATGGCCCCAGCTCGGCTGGGAGCTACGGCCAGGGGCCCCCAGAGCCCTGTATCCTCCCGCAGAGGCCCATGAGTCACCGTTCCTCCCACCCAAAGACTCCCAGGCCTAACAGGACTGGACTCTCGCCATGACCCCAGGAGGGGGTCCTGTTAACACTCCCACTTGAGGCCACACAGCCCGAGTGACAGCTGCTTGATTACTAGCTGGTCTCGTTAACACTCTCACAAATTAATTCTCCATACAGCAGCCAAGAGTATCCTTAAAAACGAAACCAGAACAAGTCACCCTGGACTGAAAACACTCCAGGGCCTTCCCACTGCCCCAGACTACAGTGTGAGCTTCTACCCCGGCCCCCAAAAGGGCGTGGCTGGCCGGCCTGTCTGGGCCCTTGACCCAGTGGCTTCGGCCAAGTCCCCACAGGCCTTCCCAGACCCCGTCAGTCTGAGGGTGCCCTGCCTCCACTGGCGCAGGTTTAAATCCTCTTGCCCTGCACCAGCGGGAGGGCATGAGTGGGCAGGGCTGGCGCCACCCAAATGAGATGGGCCAGAGCAGGGGCAGCCACTCTGCTCTCCGGAGGCCGCCCCCTTAAGGTCTCTATTACCCGAGGCACCGACAGCCCCTCCGGGCCTGGGGGTGGTGCTGACCATGCAAGCAGCCCACCCCAGTGCCTTATCGGGTGCCATCAGCAGGTGCAATGAATGAGCTCAGCCTGCAAGCTGTCATTAGCTCCCAGGGGTGTGGTCGCTGGGCCACTGGGAGGGAGAGGGGGCTACTCCACGGCAGGTCGGCGTGTGTGCCAGCCCTCACCTGATACAGCAGGGCACCCCGACCCACCAAGGCTGGTGTCGCAAAGGAACGTGGGAGAGGCGTCACTGTGAGAAAGTGCGTTTGCTCCTGCGGGGCAGGGCTGCCCTCGGTCCGAGACTGGGGGGCGGAGGGCAGAGCGGCAAGTGCAGTTAAGGCCGAGGCGCCGCTGCCCCGCCCGGGAGGCCCAGCCAGGCCAGTTCTGGTTCACTGCAAGGCCCCAGAGCCAGGAGGTGGCGCCCCAGACACTGGGAAAGTGAAAGGGGAGCAGAGGAGGGAGTGGAGGGGGGCGAGGAGCGGCGACGGGGAGCGTCTTCCCTGGCCCTGCCGAGCCCTGGGATGCCGCCCGGGCAAAGGAGGGAGGCAGGTGGCAAGGCCACTGTCCCCTGTCCGTCCGGTCCTCACAGCCACACTGCCCAAGTTAAAGTTTGCTCAGGGAAGCTGAGGGACCCAAGTCCCCACAGGGGTCGTGGGCAGGGACCTGGCAGGCTTCCACCGCACGGCAAGGGCCGGGACACCGGGCCAGGCACAGCCAGGCCCACTGGAGAAGGCTCTCAACAAACACCCACAGGCACCCTTAGCTCCCAGGACCTCTGGGGCCGTGGCTCAGGTTCCAGCCCTTCCCCCAGCACAGGCACAAAGCCACCCCTGCT